TTTAATTATATATATATATATATATATATATATATATATATATATATATATATATATATATATATATATATATATATCCCATAAATTAAGTCATAAAATCAATGTAGCTTTTAAGTTCTAGAACAAAAAATAAGCGATGAAAATCTTATTAAAAAACTAACAGATATTAGATCATCTTCAAGCCAAGTACTTAATATCCTGGGGTACATCTCATTCAGTTCTGATTTGCTTAATTTTTTCAGAGCAAAAAGAACTGAAATAACATGGGTAGATCTAGGATTGGGCGTATACGCAAATTTGCTTGGAAAAAAAGGAAGAGTGAACGAGTTTGTATATTTATATGCATTTATATGAACTCTGAAATAGTACCATGAGTACAGCTACAAAATCTACATTAATTTTTAGAAATTGCATGTTTATCTATTTACTTTGTGATTATTTGTAATGGAGTGCATAATTTTGCATAATTATGGACTTAAGTAGCTGTTTTTACTATAATTACAACCACTTCCAGAAATGCTGTATACAAGAGTATATGTAAAGTGAACACATATTTGTTTGCTTTGCTTAGTGTAGTGTTTTTCTTATGTACTTAAAAGCGTGCTGATCAAATATACATTGTAACATATAACAATGCAAAGTGCAAAATTCACTACCTCTCTCCAAGTTTTTAGGTATGATTGTTTAAGTTACACATTCGAAACTTTTTGCATTTTTCTTTATCCACATATCCTGCATAGCTAGTTAAGCAATGTCAAGCAATGATTCTTGAGTAGTAGAAAATTGCTTTTTCCAGAGGAAAATTCTTTACATATTTCATCACATTTTTTGCCATATAGCTCCATGTGTAATCAGTAATTTTAATATTATTTGAATAAAAATTGAGAGCTTTCTTATATAATTGGTTTTTGATGGTACTTTGTAGTACTTGTATTATTTCTGACTGATCATATATGATGGTACTTTGTAGTACTTGTATTATTTCTGACTGATCATATATAAATCTTACAGTACTATGTAGTAGATAGTAGTCACATACTGCAGAAGTGCATAGTTAAAATGTAATTTTTTGCCAATCTTATAAAATATTTTGAAGCTTTCATGTGAGCACAGTTGTGATCTCAGTGTATTCCTTAAAAAGGGTACTAGTATTTCATTTTTGCCCTTATTTGGACAAATTTGAAGTCACTTGAGTAAATGAAATCTGATAAAAAGATAAGGTACGGTCCTTCTGTTTATTATTTAGGTTTCTTCTATTTATAATTCAACTGATTATAGTAGTGATGAATAATACCCGGTAAATAAAAACTGTATCATTCCCACATGGCCTCATTAAACCGAATCATACATGAGAGATCATGGTTAATATCACTCTCTGTTGTTGACTTTTCCACAGATTCTGAGGATGAAAACTCAATGTATCCAGCCTCTTTATCTACTTTATTGTTGCTCTTTGTAACATCATCTTCCGTGAGAATATCATCAAAGTAATCGCCATCTTTTAAATCTTGTAGGCACTACCTAAGGGAGTGCTTTAGATATCCCTCAGCCCAGAAACATCACCATACCGGAAATAAAAAAATTGTCCCGGGTAATTAGCACTGCATGACCATTCCTTCCCATTCCTTGGTTTTGTATTAAATATAAAAAGTTAACTGTGTAATTTTACAATCACTTTTTCACTCATAAAATCAAATTGAAGCTAATCTTTAAGTTTTTTACGTAGGACAGCAGCAATTTGTGTGCCGTGTGTGGTAAAGTTGCTGATGAGAACAGAAGGGTGATCACTGCAGAGTACTGGAGGGAAATAAGGCAGTTGTTTCCAGGGAAAGAAAACACAGAAATCTCAAGCAGACAGAGTTTGATATGTACAGAGTGCCATGTGGCCTGCTGTAGAAAGCGTGAAAAGGACAGACATTCCCCCATGGTGGTAGACGGTGAAGATGGAGTAAGTTATTATTATTATTATTTATTTTTTTCTTTATTAATTTTTTTAATTATTGATTTATTCAAGGGATATCACTTTTTTTTTTTTGCTTTTAGGCCACACTTTTTTAATTTTATGGATGACATCCTGCGCGCGCACCGATTTTCGTCCGTTCTCCGAAAAAAAAAAA